GGAGAGGGGGGCAGCCCTGCTGCAGCTGGGCTGAAGTGTGAAGATGTTGTAGAGTGGGATGTTTCTGTAGCACCAGGAGTCCCGGCGTGTGACCGCCCTAAAAAGGGGGGATTGGTGGGGTGAGAAGTGCCGGTGGGCTCAGGGCTTGAGGGAGCTGTACGCTGGGAGATGCGCAGAGTGAGTGGGAGAGGCCTCAGGAAGGTCTCTTGAGAGCCCCCAGAAGTAGGTTCGGGTGCTGGTCAGGAGGGAGGATGAAGGAAACCTGCCGGATTTGTGCCCGGGAGCTGTGCGGCAACCAGCGGCGATGGATCTTCCACACGGCGGCCAAGCTGAACCTCCAGGTGCTGCTCTCCCACGTCCTGGGCAGGGAGCTGTGCCGGGATGGCAAATCCGAGTTCGCTTGCAGCAAGTGTGCCTTCATGCTGGACCGCATCTACAGGTTCGACACTGTCATCGCGCGCATCGAAGCCCTCTCCATCGAGCGCCTGCAGAAACTGCTGCTGGAGAAAGACCGCCTCAAGTTCTGCATTGCAAGTATGTACCGCAGGAACAACGAAGACTCTAGCACAGATGACAGAGCTGGAGATGGGACTGTAGACCTTTCTAACCTGCCTGATGTACGGTATGCTGCCCTCCTTCAGGAGGACTTTGCTTATTCTGGGTATGAATATTGGACGGATCAAGAAGAGCACAGCTTGGAGCCACACAGCTGCCATTCTTCAGAGGGAGCAAGTAACCGCCCGCGGCGCTGCCGTGGCTGTGCCGCGCTGCGGGTGGCCGATGCTGACTATGAAGCGATTTGCAAAGTGCCGCGAAAGGTGGCCAGAAGCATCTCCTGCGGGCTGTCCAGCCGGTGGTCGGCCAGTGTGGGCAATGAGGAGTCATCCGTGTGTGATGTGGCGGAGTCTGCCAGTGCCAGAGTGCCTGTGGATGGGGAGAGCATGGAGGAAGGCACGCCTGCATCCTCTGTTGAGTCCCTGGACACGACTGTGGAGGCAAGCCCTCCACAGCAGAAGGATGAAGATGCAGATAAGGGGGTGAAAGGGAATGGGAAATGTGACGATTTCTCAGATGACCGCATGACCCCAAATTCTTCGCTGAGCGGCAACAGGCTGGAGCTGGCCCTCAGTTTGATCAAGGCTTTGGACTACAAACCCCTTCAGAGCCCCCGAGGCAGCAGGCTACCTATTCCTGTGAAGTCCAGCTTGCCCCCTCCCAAGCTCAGCCGTGACTTGGCAGATGGCAGCGCTTCTGCTGGCTTAGCGTGTGCTGGTTCTGCCTTCCTGAATGCAGACAGAAAATCCTTTTCCAGAGCTCCTTTGGGTCTTCCCCTGGAGATTTCTGAACTGCAGGAGCTGTGGGATGACCTCTGTGAGGATTATATGCCGCTGCGGGTACAGGTAGAGGTCATTGTGCCGCCATTCAATTGAGCAGTGTCCCTGTGGCCCGACACTGAGCCTGCTAGGGATTCTTCTGTGCTGAGATAATACAGATAGCCATGTGTCACTGAACCCAGGACTAAGAATAGGCAGCTTGGTCCTTTTTAGGTGTGCCGCCTCTCTCCTCTGTCATGCTCCTGTTATCTGTTTCCTCCTTGTGTTCTGAGAAATTAACCTTCCCCTCCTCCATCAGCTCTCCTTGTCAATGCAGCCTGCTAGATGGGTCTAAGCTCTTTGTGTGCTTTGTCATTTTTCTGCTGAGAAAACACCAGTTTCACTTCAACTTTCTCTTTAAGAAGTCAGTGTGACTTTTACCTACAACCAAAGGGAGTGTTTTAAGCTTCCGGGCATGTGTTTTCCAGCAAATCTGTTTTCTTTGTGCCTGGGTAATGGTTCAGTGTCAGGAACGCCTGCCTCCAGAGCCCTGCCCCTGCGGATCAGGCGTCCAACCTGCCTAACGTGCAGATCTGTGCAGGGATCTGTGGCGCGTGCCCTGAGGAAAAGGTGTTTTCCTTGCAGGTGGATTTGCGCCAGAGGATGACTTTAGGGTTGGTATTCTAGATAATTGGTTTATTTTCTGATCCTTTGAAAAGATTCATCAATTAGTGGCAGGTGCTGCTGAGAGGTGATAAAAGCTCCTGCTTTCACGGGACTTCCTGGTGCTGTTATCTGCCTCGATGGTAGTCCTCGTGTAGCTCCAGATTGCCTCTGGTTTGCTGGCTTTAAAGAAATCTTCATTAGTATGCAGTCAAAAAGCTGAACTTGTAACTCCTTTACCTCTTTCCTTAATGAATAGAAGGCCTCAGTCAGCTTCAATTCAGGAATATCCGTGTCAGCCTTAATTGCATTTCCATTAGCAGCCTTAGTGTTGTCTAATGCTCTAGGTAGCCTGGGGGATTAGAAAAATGCTTGTTTATCACTATGGCAACTGTGTCTGTGCTGAATTACGCTTCCTATTCAGCCAGCACTGCTTGCTGTCCCGTCTGCTTGGGCGTTTCCCAGAGCTGTGTGCTTTTCCCATAGAAGCCTGCTCAAGAAATGGTGCTAGGGAGGGATGTAGCAGAACTAATTTTCATCTGGTGCACAAAGGCATCGTGCTGGCAGCCAGTGACTGCAGATGTGAAGCAGGGCGTTGATGCTGCTCCTGTAGTCTGTGTTGCTTGCTACTAATTTTCACTGCTAGGGATATATTTACAGCATAAAAATAGGCTTTCTGTTAACAGAATGTGGTGCAGTCGACGTGGCCTGTTTACGGCTTGGCTTTGTGTCATGCATCACCATCCTTGTCTGGGAGCTGTGTTTGAGGGGTTTTTCCAACCTCCAGCCTCTGCCATCTGGTAGTCCCTGCCAGGAATTCATGCTGCAGGATTTTTTACTGCCTGTTCCTGGCCATGGCAGCAGTAGTTGTGGTCTTTGGTGCAGGTCCTGGCAGAAGGGGGAAAGGACTTTAATCCTTTGGATGGCTTTATCGGCAAAAATGAGAAGTCAGATGCAGCTAGTAGACTAAATAGTTCTTGTATAAATGATTTTTCTTTCTCTTTGTACAAGCAACACTCTTTCTATAAGTCAGGAACTGCTGTCTAGCGATTCATACGCATAAACGCCTTTGTGGTAATGTGAAAGGAATGTACAGGATATATAGGACCACAGCTCCCTTATTGCTTTTGGGAAACTGCAGTTCTTTAAATTTACTGCTGTAAGCTACAATGACCAAGAGCAATCTGGTGTCGGGGTACGTGACCTTGTAGGTACTGTCATCTTGGGTGTTTTCTTGAACCAACAATTTTTCCTCTTCCTCACTGCAGCCCCAGGAAAATGCCACCAAACTAAGCCTTTATCAGACACACTCTTGCAGCTGCCTGCAGTGCTGTGCTGGCAGCAAGGGAAGCATTGCCCTGCTGACAGCTGGTCTTTTACCCACTGTTCTGGGCAGATGTGAGCTTGGCAGGCTTAGATAATGCCATGATTATTATTCTTACTTTTTAAAGAAGTGTTCTGTCTAGGTTAGCGTGTGCTTATATTGCTGGAGCTGTACTGAGGAGAGATTGTCAGTAAATTATTGATGTAGGAGAAACCACTGGGGAGCCGTGCTCCTGACATGGCTGCAGGGAAGCATGAGGGAGGCAGCTTGGGCTTTGGAACTTTGGACTCTGGAGGTGGCTCTGCCTTTCCCCTCCCTGCTCTTAGCTCGTTGCGGGCTTTCTGCTTATTTTTCTTTGGAATGTGCAAATTGAGGAAAGGTGTGTTCCCCCGCACCCCGTTTTCGTCAGTGTTATTTCAAAATAGCTGCTGTGTGACAGATTCCAGCCACTCTCCCTGTCTGATCTTCTGGCTGGGCAAATTTGAAATTACTTGCTGTGACTGTTTAAGTTTTCACTAAAATCTTAACAAAACATCAGGGTAAAGGGAAGCATTGCTTCTATATGTGAGAGGCAATGCACAGGTCTGGGGGAGCTCTCCTGTGCTGCCTGTCTTTCCCAGAGACAGTGTTTCTGTGGCTGCTGAAGATGAAGATTCAGTCTGACAGGGCTAGTCAGAGCTGGTGGTTGTTCTCCCTGTGCTGCCTGGAGCTGGTGCTCCTGTGTGCTCTGAAGAGCTCTGCTGTGTTCTCGTAGCCTCTGCACTGCAACCCTGCACTTGCCAGGGCTCCCACTTAAAACAAGACACCAGTACAATCAATCTCGTATCACCGATAATATTCAGGAATACTCAACGAGTCCTGTGAGGGCTGGGATGCGTGGCTGGGTTTGAATGCTGCTCTAAGGAGTTAACAACTCACTAGGCAGGAGGTAGCAAAATAGTAAGAAGGGATGACAAGGGATTAGTGTGTGCTCAGCCAGCAGGGTCTGGCAGGCCACGCATTAGAAAGCAGGCTGTTTCCATTCTCAATAAATGGGTGTATGTCATGAAAAAAATCTCAGGTGTGGCACTAAATTTGGTATGGTTTGTGGAGCTGCAGGAAATCACACATGGTGTGGGTGCTGGAGTATGAAAGGAGAGCCCAGAGAATCACAAGTGGAGGGGTTCAGAGCAGGGGGTGACTACTAGGTCATGGCTGGAGGGTAGCTGGTGGGAAGGGTTGAAGCTTGTGGGCTTGATTAAGACAGAGAAGCTTGGCAGAATGTGGGAAGAAGGGGGTTGGTTTGGTGCTGGTTTTGAAGCTTTCTGAAGCTGCCAGCAGGGCACATAGGAAGGAGGGGAGGTTTCAGGAATGTGGCCCGGGTGTGGGGATCAGACCATCATCAGCCTGCAGGCAGTGGTTAGAGCCAGACAAGCTGCGGGGTTCATGGTACGGGAGTGAGGAGAGACAGGGAGCCCAACCAGAGCCTTGGGGCAGCAGGGTGCTTCTGGCATGTTGGGCAGAGAGCTGCCAGGTGCCAGCCTGCCCCCCGGGTGAAGGGAGACATGGGCAGCATGATGTTTTGGAGACAGTTAGAAAAGTACAGTGGGCCATGTTCAGGCCCATGCTGCAAGGTCTGTGAGGGCTGACAGCTGAATAGAAGTAGCCAGTGTAAGACTTGAGCCATATCTCACTTTTTTTCAGAATTTGCAGGATGAACGTCAGCAGCTGGCTCCAGGTGACCCTGCAGCAGGGGAGCACGTGTCCGATCTGTGTGCTGCAGAGCTGCAGGGCAAAATCCAGCAGTTTGAAGCTGCCAACAAGGTATTTCTTCATGAACAGCAAGTTCGGTGCCTAGTGAGTCTGATGTAATTAGTATTGGAGGATGCCTCCTAGCCTGGC